TTCAGACTGGATGTCATATTCACAGCACTAACGGTAGAAAGCAGTAGGCGGAATGTACCATTTTTACTATCAAGTGTGTAGCCGATGGTGGTGAACTCGTTAAATCCCCGATGCCAGGTACACAGGCTGAGAATCGCACTGTACACCAGAACGTTCCAAAACACATTCTTATAAAAATCCATCCACTAAAATCCATCTGTCAAATCAACAGTAATTTTTATTTCTCCTGAATTTTGAAAATTCTTAGCATTGCAAAATGCCTCTGATCAGTTTTTCCAGAATTGTGACACATTAAAAACCCCACCTAATTAACATAATTTATGCAGGAAAAGTTGTCGCCTAATTAACATAATTTATGCAGGAAAAGTTGTCGCCTAATTAACATAATTTATGCAGGAAAGTTAGCATTACTTTTCAGTTTTATCTGCAGGAAACTTTTTTTTGAAAAGAAATCAACATTGAACATTTCTAACGCTGAACACTGTGTGGATTAAATTTTAATTAATGTCTAAACTGAGAGTAATTTAAATCTAATTAGTGTGCAAGATTAAATATCTGGCACATACAACACAAAATATACAATTTCTCCAAGATCTTGAGGCTTACTGTAGATGTATTAATTATTTACTGAGTTTTAATTTCACTATTTTCACTGCTAAATTAAATCTGCTAAATTAAATTTAGGTGAACATGTTAAATAACAAAATTGGATGTCCTGAAAACACCGAAGATTTTGTGGAAGTTGACTTGAACAACCACTTTGAGCTTTAGACAGATACCAAATTTGATTTGACTGGGTAAATTTCCACAAACAATTAAATAATATTCACTTTAATTTACAAAATAACCATACCTAATCTTTTTCTTTCTTTTAACGACCACTTTCCATTCTCTGTCTATAACCAAGGCCTGTAGGCACCTTTATTTTCAATAATCTAGCAGAAAGTCTATTCAACATCTGATGTTCTTGCTAAATAAGAGCTCTACTGAATCAAGAGTTGAACATACACTAAAACTGATTAATTTTTGCTGCTGGAAATATTCACCCTTTGAGGATTTAACCTTTTCTTGGCGCCAAAGTCAATTTCAGGCCTTGTCCATAAAATAGTTTCATTTGGCTGAGAACAAAAATTTCTGTTTCTCATTTCCGAATGCATCATTTTGAACTATGAGTCTCAAACTTTTCTTTTTCCTTCTAAAGCATTTCAAAATGCGCTTGTACTCGCACTTGTCTCAAATTTTAGCTCAGTATTGGGGGAAAAAAAAAAAAAAAAAAAAAAATCGCCTCGCCTCATTTTAACATTTCCATGAAACGAGAAACAGATTTTTTTTTTCCTGGCCTTGTATATACTGTAAAGGGGGTAATTATTCACTGGGTTTTAATTTAGCTTATTTCGCTGACTGGAAAAATGCGCTAAATTAAAACACAGTGAATATGTAAAATTTAGCATAGAACACATTATCTAAATGACGAAACCGTGAATTTAAAACCCACTGAATATGCCTGAAATGGTAAACCCAGGGAAAATTAGTCATTTTACAGTAGTCTACTCTTTTCCACATTAAATTTCAAATATTTTTATCAAAAACAAATTTTCTCTGTTTGGTCCAAATTAAAATTTAATTCAGTGAAAAATTACAGAAAATGTTAACTAATCTACCATAGTTTGGCATTTCAATTTTGTAAATAAAGTCTTACTCGGTGTCACACGCCACCAGAGAAATGGTCACTGTTACAAATTTGAGTAACTTAACTTGTGAAAATTTCCCTTGCGAAAATAAAGCAATTTACAGTAATTTACTACGTTTCATTATCCCAGCTTCTCCTTAGATGACAATGGTTTGGGCAATACAACAAAGTATGTCAATATACAATGTTTTATTTATTCTATATAAAAGCCTGATATAAAAACTTCTAAGCAACATAAATTACTAAAACTATATTTATTTATAATCATTGATATGAAATAAACAATTTATATAATTTCCTAGGGAATTATGGGAAAAAATGAAGTCTGCACACAGCAGAAGACCACAAGGCCAGTATTCTTACAAGTGTTTTGACAAACTAGCGATTTTTTTGACTGATTGAACAGACATTTAATATCCAACTTTCTCTCTACATTTAAATTTTGTGAAGTTACCCACATGTTACGATTTGGAAACAATTTCTGATGTCTGTTTTCAAAATTCAAAGTAGGCACTACAATAATGGCACATTATTCAATGTCTATATCTTACCACGTTGAATAAAAATGGGACATCGGGGGGGGGGGGGGGGGAGCTATAAAAAAACAAGGAAAATCAACAAAATGACACTTTCAGTTTTTCCTATATGATTTAAGTATTTATGAGGCTTAAAACAGATACTACAATAGTACAAGAACATCCCAATAAAAATATATTAATATCTCTTGCGTCAAAGTAACAGGATGCAAATTCACTAAGGAAACAGTTGCCATAGCAACAGGTTGTTTTCAACAGCCCATCCATCAATCAATCACTATTCTGGCAGATAAATTGGAAGATATTTGTGTCAAAATACATCATTTTTGGTGGATTTTGTCTGATATAAATAAACTTTGATAAGACTTGTTTGGGGAATTAAATGATAACATGTCAGACCAAACACTTATTCTTGAACTGTTGAAACAAAACTAAATTAAATGAAAATCAACAGATACAGAAGAATTATTTTCAATACTTTTTCTAAAGTTGTCAATACTGTAGTATTTTTAATGAGGTCAGAATTGGGCTGGGCTGGGCTGGATTTTGATTTGTTCAAGTTTTCAAGAAAAGTAATACACAGACTTATGTTATACAAATCGATGATCATTTTTCTGATAACAGTAGGAGAACACATGAAAGCGAAAATTAACAAATAGCTTTCCTGACGATTTTGTTTTACATTATGTCTATCTGACTCGGAATGCGTGAAGCGCCCTCAATCTGTGACGATAGGTACATGTTATTTGAAAAACACAAGAAAATTCAAACTGTGCGCTATTTACGGTAAAATTATGACAATAACATCAGTAAGTATGCCACAGCAAATCATTCTGACGCAATTTCGTGCCAGTGACGGGCCTGCGAAGTGCAAGTGTCCGATTTTACGGTCGGAATTGGAGTTACGTTCAAACGCATAGTACCAGCTATTGTATGATCGACAAATACAAAATGGCGGAAACCGCCAGCGATGTGGAGACGTCAAAACTCCACAAAAAATGTGATTCCTAGAGAAAGAAAAAATCGAGCGGCATACAAAGACAATCCCTAGGAAAGTATGCAGCGACGCTATCTTTTCGACCGGGCTGTGTTTCAGTACTAATTTTGCGAGTGCCCCAAATCGTCGATTTGAGGCGAAATATCTCACTTATATTGTAAGCGATGCCTTGCACTACCCCTACGGATTGGCTCTCTAGATTTGGAAGGGACTCACGAAAACAATACTTTTTGTGATGTAAACATTGGGAAAACGTAACGAACCGATGAAAAATAACAAATAGCAAACAAGAGCACATTATCAAGATAAATTCAATGACATGTGTAATGCACCATAATTTGAAATGCAGCGTGTAACAAAACTGTGTCCACCATATTTTGAACATGTGATTTTAGGAAGCAAAAATAGTAACATTAAAGTTCGAATGAGAAGAAACTTAAAATTTGTTTTGTCACAGACAGGGTGGCATTTTGTAGGATTTATAAAACATTTGTCAATCGATGTGCTCTACCCAGGGTTTTAGAATGGGACCGAAGCCAAAATGCCAGTGCGAGTGCGAATCGTATTATTCGCTTTGTGATTGGGATCCCAGTACATACAATATATGGCGGCTAGTCAAACACCACAATATTACAAAAAAACATCTCAAATCGGCGATCACAAAATATACACAAGGTTCCTAACTATTTGATAAACTGCTACGGACGTATATTGACAAAGAAAAATATTGGTCGATATAGTAATGGCCCGCGAGACGAGTTGGCGCAGGTCGGAGGCATCGTACTGGCCGACTCGCTAGTATGGAAGCACATGGACGGTGGGAGCACTAACACCGTCCCCCTCGACAAGAAAAACACCACAAAATCACAAACAATGAGTAAAATAACGATCGAGCACAACAAACACATATTACTGCACCTGTCCTGGCGCCCTGCCACGTTTCTCCAACTCAATTCGTTTGTCCATTGCCCGAAAATCGTCTTCAGATTGAGCGAGCACAGAGGAAGCAGGCCGTTGCAAAATTCCGAGCTCAGACACTGTCGAGGGGAAAATAATACAAAGTTGGGCTGTCGACGCGCCAAGGCATTGCTCCTTAGAGGGGTTGCCCAATTGGCCAATTACATGGACCCCTCACTCACTGACGATAGCTTGCTATGTATCATATCACGTGACTGGCGAAACAAACATCTCATTCAAAATTCAACCAATCATGAACCACCACACATATTGTTAACGGTGTCATTAGGTCGATTGAAGCAGGCTATTATCATTTCCTTCTCCGCAAGAAAAACACAAGATCTTTTTTTACAGTGTAGCGCTCTTCACGTACACAGATTTGCCACGACTATCCAAAAAATAATAGTTTATAATAACCTGTATGTTTTTTTTTCTTCTTTTAATTCGCAGACATTCATAATAATTGTTTTCAGATTTTAAGCGGAAGTCGCAGTTTGTAAATGAGAAATACTGCTGATTACTATGAACAATTTTTTTTTTCCGTCAGATTGTTAAAAACAAAGCAGCTCATCAAAACAATCTGCCGACAATAAGCAGGGCGTACGGGGAACAAGCGTTGATCTAATTTCATCCGGGAACCTGCCATGTTTATATGTTTATCCGGTAAACACCAACAAATTTGCATGTTGGCGACAGACAGATGGCGTCACGTGACAAGTCGCCATTTTAAAAGCCTGATGAAACGAAAATAAAATTCGGAAGAAAAGCGATTTTTTCTTGCAATCCGTTAAAATTACAATTGACAAATAAAGGCCTTTACCTCGTTTTTTGTATCCTCAAACAGCACACGACACTCAGTTCTGTTTGTTCCCTGTATTGCTGAAGCCTCGATTTCTGTTCCAGTACACAAAGATTTTTGCTTCACGAAATTCCCCGCTGAATTTTTTGACCGCGAGCGCATTTTATTTCTAATTCTGCCATTTTACAGCCAAAATAAGGTACACCCGAAACCCGAAATTGAGAACGGGTGAGAGCGGCGAAAATGACCCAATTGATTGGGTGTGTCATCTGGCCGTGTCGTACGGAACAACAGTCCAACATGGAGGACGATACATTAACACACTACATTGCTCAACGATAACATGCGAGGTACAGGCAATTCGTCCATACCCCCTCTAGGAACAATTGAAGAGTTAGGAAAATTTAAGATTCATATGCAAAACACTCTAAAAGTCGCGGACGTCAATTTTATTGACTGTCACTCATTAACTTTAACCAAATAAAATAAAATTAACTTAACGTGTTAGTTACTAATTATCCGATTAATTATTAATGAGATCTCCAAGGTCAAATTGTTAAAAAAAAAAGCGAAAATACGTAAAGTAATTACATTTTATGTAGTTTTATTTGGGGTATTTTTGGAAGACATTTTTTTCACTTCCAACAACAAAGCAATTGCCTAATTGAATACTAACAGTGAACACGCGAGGGCGCTGGTCAACATAATCGCTGTCATTTGTTTTGTCGACTTTTATTTGGAGACAACTTTCACACGCGTTAATTAACTCCAAATTATTATTATATTTGAATAAAATATGTTTACAATATTTTTGTTAATTTGTGGATTATAGTTACGGACCTATTTTCAGTGTACTCTAAGCGCAACAAACGCATTCCCCTCGTCTTTATAAATATTTATAAATTTCAATAGTTGTTAAATCCAACCATAGACCTTACTAAGAAGGGTCTACGATCCAACAAACCAGCCAATCAACAAACAGGGCGTAGCGACGTCATTTCAAAAAGTTCCAATGTTATTCAATCAACCAATAGAAGCAGCTCTTTTTAGTTTGAATTGTGAAATTTGTAAGGATGGAGATAATGCCTTTGTTGCCAGGAGAGTATCACAACAACAAACGCATGTTAGTGAACTTTAAACCTGTTATTTCAGATTTTTTAAAATTACGATATACTACCAACTCAGGTGAAGTTTTTTTTCAGCCCGGGATGGACGGCGTGGGGGTGGGGGACACTTATCAGGAACGTTTTACGAGCCCAATAAATTGGAAACCATATCGTATATTATTCAAGGGGCCACTTTTTGCCAATAACTGCATATTAAGAATAAGGGATGGACGATTAGAAAGTCTGGGGCTATTGCATAAAAAATATGCAAATTCGTTTTCCCTTCGCCAGGTTTCGTGCCATTTTTTTCAATGATGAATTCGATGTTTTTTGTTTTTATTTCTTCTGTGTGTAATATTTTTTCCTAAGAAAAAGGCGTTCAGAATTTGTTTCTCTTATTAACCCCTAGAGGATTTTTGTCCAGTGCATTTTTGTTATCAATAGGTGATTTTCCGTACAATTGCGAGATCTCGCGAGATGCATGAAAGACGCGCGTCGAACGTCTGCCGCAAAAATCGAACGATTTGATTTTGAACTCGAATTTCTTTATTTCGTAGCTCACATCGACCGGCCGATCTTCGACAGAGGAATATTGCTTCCGAATACCCTCACTTAATCGAAATTGTCTATCATCAAATGTGGACAGCACATTATTAAGCATGGAAATGTCCCCCAAAATACTTTCGCGTTTGTCGAATCCCACGCGATGTTTGACGCCACTACGACGCTATGACCTTTGTTTGTCCTGTTTTTACGTTCGATTTCACGCATAACGCGTGATTCTCGCAGTGAACGGAAAATGGTCTATTATACCATCGCCCAATAGCTTTTAATGGTCCACCCCTAAGAGTTCATTTTGTGACCTATTAACTTAGACCGAATTCAACTTTTTCAACTACTGAGCTTGATACTTTACATATATGCAATGCATTATGGGGGGGGGGGATGTTTAATTGCATGTAAATTGTATTAGTTATTGTATATAAATGGAAAGCTATTGAGAAACTCACTGAAAAACGCAGTAAATATTTTTTTAATGTTTCCACAATGTTTGGTTGATATAATGAATAACATAATAACGTTTTCATCCCATGTGTCACAGAGCAAAATCTCGAATTTTCAGAAATGAAAGCTTCTTTCAAATTCACATGATTTTCAGAAATGCAAGCTACTTGCAAAGTCACACGATTTTCATAATTGTAAGCTTCTTGCAAAGTCACTGATAATAATGATGAGGCGATGATCACATAGTCATTAAGATTTCAAAGAACTGTGATATAAATCAGTCTACAAATACTACCCCACTTGATGAACATACAAACAGTACAAAACAGCAGATTTTAAAGTACAGACCATGAACAGAACTTTTCTGTGAATAAAAGAGGAAACTCGTAAAAATGACTGGACCTGACCTTCATTCTTTGTCAAACTGCTGCTCTTACATGTTTTCAAATTATTTTTACTTCAGTCTACAAAGTATTTTGTCTCCATGCAAAGTGTCTGCAAAGTATTTGACTCCTTGCAAAGTGTCTGCAAAGTATTTGACTCCATGCAAAGTGTATGCAAAGTATTTTGCCTCCTTGCAAAGTGTCTGCAAAGTATTTGACTCCATGCAAAGTGTCTGCAAAGTATTTGACTCCATGCAAAGTGTATGCAAAGTATTTTGCCTCCATGCAAAGTGTATGCAAAGTATTTTGCCTCCTTGCAAAGTGTCTGCAAAGTATTTTGACTCCTTTCAAAGTGTCTGCAAAGTATTTGACTCTATGCAAAGTGTATGCAAAGTATTTTGACTCCATGCAAAGTGTATGCAAAGTATTTGAATTCATGCAAAGTGTATGCAAATTATTTTTCCTCCTTGCAAAGTGTCTGCAAAGTATTTGACTCCTTGCAAAGTGTATGCAAAGTATTTAGCATCCTTTCAAAGTGCCTGCAAACTATTTGACTCCATGCAAAGTGTCTGCAAATTATTTTGACTCCTTGCAAAGTATCTGCAAAGTATTTGACTCCATGCAAAGTGTGAGCAAAGTATTTTGACTCCATGCAAAGTGTATGCAACATATTTGAATCCATGCAAAGTGTATGCAAAGTATTTTGCCTCCTTGCAAAGTGTCTGCAAAGTATTTTGCCTCCTTGCAATGTGTCTGCAAAGTATTTGACTCCTTGCAAAGTGTATGCAAAGTATTTAGCCTCCTTTCAAAGTGTCTGCAAAGTATTTGACTCCATGTAAAGTGTCTGCAAATTATTTTGACTCCTTGCAAAGTATCTGCAAAGTATTTGACTCCATGCAAAGTGTATGCAAAGTATTTAGACTCCTTTCAAAGTGTCTGCAAAGTATTTGACTCCATGTAAAGTGTCTGCAAAGTATTTTGACTCCTTGCAAAGTATCTGCAAACTATTTGACTCCATGCAAAGTGTGAGCAAAGTATTTTGACTCCATGCAAAGTGTATGCAACATATTTGAATCCATGCAAAGTGTATGCAAAGTATTTTGCCTCATTGCAAAGTGTCTGCAAAGTATTTGACTCCTTGCAAAGTGTATTCAAAGTATTTAGCCTCCTTTCAAAGTGTCTGCAAAGTAATTTGACTCCATACAAAGTGTATGCAAAGTATTTGACTCCATGCAAAGTTTATGCAAAGTATTTTGCCTCCATGCAAAGTGTATGCAAAGTATTTGCCTCCTTGCAAAGTGTCTGCAAAGTATTTTGACTCCTTTCAAAGTGTCTGCAAAATATTTGACTCTATGCAAAGTGTATGCAAAGAATTTGACTCTATGCAAAGTGTATGCAAAGTATTTGAATTCATGCAAAGTGTATGCAAAGTATTTTGCCTCCTTACAAAGTGTCTGCAAAGTATTTGACTCCTTGCAAAGTGTATGCAAAGTATTTAGCATCCTTTCAAAGTGCCTGCAAACTATTTGACTCCATGCAAAGTGTATGCAAATTATTTTGACTCCTTGCAAAGTATCTGCAAAGTATTTGACTCCATGCAAAGTGTGAGCAAAGTATTTTGACTCCATGCAAAGTGTATGCAACATATTTGAATCCATGCAAAGTGTATGCAAAGTATTTTGCCTCCTTGCAATGTGTCTGCAAAGTATTTGACTCCTTGCAAAGTGTATGCAAAGTATTTGACTCCATGTAAAGTGTCTGCAAAGTATTTGACTCCATGCAAAGTGTATGCAAATTATTTTGACTCCATGCAAAGTGTATGCAAAGTATTTTGCCTCCTTGCATTGTGTCTGCAAAGTATTTGACTCCTTGCAAAGTGTATGCAAAGTATTTGACTCCATGCAAAGTGTCTGCAAAGTATTTTGTCTCCATGCAAAGTATCTGCAAACTATTTGACTCCATGCAAAGTGTGAGCAAAGTATTTTGACTCCATGCAAAGTGTATGCAACATATTAGAATCCATGCAAAGTGTCTGCAAAGTATTTGACTCCTTGCAAAGTGTATTCAAAGTATTTAGCCTCCTTTCAAAGTGTCTGCAAAGTATTTGAATCCATGCAAAGTGTATGCAAAGTAATTTGACTCCATACAAAGTGTATGCAAAGTATTTGAATCCGTGAAAAGTGTATGCAAAGTATTTGACTCCATGCAAAGTGTATGCAAAGTATTTTGACTCCATGCAAAGTGTATGCAAAGTATTTTGCCTCTTTGCAAAGTGTATGTAAAGTATTTTGCCTCCTTTCAAAGTGTCTGCAAAGTATTTGACTCTATGCAAAGCGTCTGCAAAGTAGTTTTTTTGTATATTTATTACAAAGCAAAAGGCCATTGGCCCAAAGAGCAAATACAGTTTCACTTAACAATTGTAACAATAGAGAAAACAACAATCATTCAAGTTCTGCTTTTCATGGCGAAATAAACATAAACATTTTGCGAAATATTAAATATTAAATGCAAAGTATTTTGACTTCTTTCAAAGTGTCTGCAAAGTATTTGACTCCATTCAAAGTGTCTGCAAAGTATTTAACTCCTTTTAAACTGTCTGCAAAGTATTTTGACTCCATGCAAAGTGTCTGCAAAGTATTTTAACTCCTTTCAAACTGTCTGCAAAGTATTTGAATCCATGCAAAGTGTATGCAAAGTATTTGACTCCATGCAAAGTATTTGACTCAATGCAAAGTGTATGCAAAGTATTTTGACTCTTTTCAAAGTGTATGCAAAGTATTTGACTCCATGCAA